CACCCCCCGTCTTCCCCTCCTTTCTCCCTCGTCGTTCCCAACCAAACAACAGACCTGGTGGCAGCAGCGGTGCTGTCAGGCAATCGCAACTTCGAGGGCCGAGTGCACCCCCAGACACGTGCCAACTACCTCGCCTCTCCTCCCCTTGTGGTCGCCTATGCCCTCGCCGGCACGGTGAGTCACATTACATAGCCCACGCATGAAGCCATGCATGTGCATGTGCATGCACTGGCAGCACGAATAGCCCTCTCAGCCATTTCAAGGTGCATCCCCAGTGACACGTGCCAACTACCTCGCGTCGCGTCCCCGTGTGATGAGTCTATTGTTGAGTCGACTCAAAATAGACTCATCACTCGAGGTGCATCCCCAGTGACACGTACCAACTACCTCGCCTCGCCACCCCTCGTGGTCGCCTATGCCCTCGCCGGCACGGTGAGTCCCAACCCCGCATGATCACATCGAATCAAGGAGTATGGGAGAGGAGTATGGGAGTGGAAGTGAGAGTGGGAGTGAAAGTGGGGGTGAGAGTAAGGAGGAGGAGCACAGGGCACCATCGAGGAGGCAACAGAGGGGCCGACGGACATCGGTGGTGAGGCGTGGATCAGGGCGAGTGTTGTCTGTGGCGGGCGGGCGCTGTGTGGAAGCGCAGGAGTCACTCGCCCACACAGCGCCCACCACAGACAACACTCGCCCTGATCCCGTCCTGACCACCGATGCCCGCCGGCCCCTCTGCTTCAATTCGGTCGACATTGACTTTGCAACCGAGCCAATCGGCACGGGCAGCGACGGGAAGCCCGTCTTCCTGCGCGGCATCTGGCCAACCTGCCCTATATTTCCCTGTCCTTTCGTGCTTCTCTCTTCAATCTATCCCATAATCATCAGGTTGACATTGACTTTACCACCGAGCCGATTGGCACCGGCAAGGACGGCAAGCCCGTCTTCCTGCGCGACATCTGGCCGACATCCGCTGAGGTGGCAGCGGTGGTCGAGAAGTCCGTGCTGCCCGAGTTCTTCCGGTCGACCTATGAGAGCATCACACGTGGCAACGACCTGTGGAACGGGCTGACGGCACCCGAGGGGGCGCTGTACGATTGGAGCCCGGCGTCGACATACATCCACGAGCCGCCCTTCTTCAAGGGGATTACTAAGGACCCCCCTGGGGTGGCGCCTGTGGTGGACGCCAATTGCCTGCTGAACCTGGGCGATAGCATCACCACGGATCATATCTCCCCTGCTGGTAAGTTCCTGGTGGGGGGAAGTTTACCTTCTCTTTTGCCACGGTCCCTGTTCTCCACCCGAGGGCGTGCTGTACGAGTGGAGCCCTGCCTCTACTTACATCCATGATCCGCCCTTCTTCAAGGGGATCACCAAGGACCCCCCTGGTGTGGCGCCCGTGGTGGACGCCAACTGCCTGCTCAACCTGGGCGATAGCATCACCACGGATCACATCTCCCCTGCCGGTGGGTGGCTGTGTGTGGGTGTGTGTTTATGTGTGTGTGAGCATCACCGCCCCTTTCCCTTCCTTGCTAAACCACTGGTAAACCCCTGCCGGAACTCGTATGGCAGCAGGCGGGGCAACGACGAGGTGATGGCACGCGGCACCGTAAACCTGAATTCACACCGTGTTCCTGCCTCCCCGCACCAAATCCCTTCCTCCTCCCAGGGAGCATTCACAAGGACAGTGCAGCAGCGAGGTACCTGACAGAGAGGGGCGTGGCGCGCAAGGACTGGAACTCGTATGGCAGCAGGCGGGGCAACGACGAGGTGATGGCGCCGACAAACACTAACTCGCTCCGCGTCTTCACTCCCTGCACCAAACCCCTTCCTCCTCCCAGGAAGCATTCACAAGGACAGTGCTGCGGCACGGTATCTGACAGAGAGGGGAGTAGCACGCAAGGACTGGAACTCGTATGGCAGCAGGCGGGGCAATGACGAGGTGATGGCGCGGGGCACGTTTGCCAACATCCGCATTGTGAACAAGTTCATGCAAGGGGAGGTGGGCCCTCATACGGTCCACGTGCCCAGCGGCGAGAAGATGTTCATCTATGACGCCGCCATGGTGAGTCTTTTTTAGGGCTCAGGGCTGTTGTGGTGCCACGGTGAGGGGATGGGAGAGTGACAGGGGAGTGGGGGCCACGTTTGCCAACATCCGCATCGTTAACAAGTTCATGCACGGGGAGGTGGGGCTGCACACCGTCCACGTGCCCAGCGGCGAGAAGATGTTCATCTATGATGCCGCCATGGTGAGTGGAGGAGGGTTGAGGGCTGTTGTTGTGGTCTGCGCGTTCTACTCTTGTTTCCAGCCTCACTGCAAAGCCAAGTGAAGGAAGTTGTGAAATGCGGTGAGGCAGGGAAGTGAGGGGGCACATCCGCATTGTGAACATCCGCATTGTGAACAAGTTCATGGAAGGGGAGGTGGGGCCGCACACTGTTCATGTGCCCAGCGGCGAGAAGATGTTCATCTATGATGCCGCTATGGTGAGTGAACGCGGGTGGGTGTTGTGGTGAGGCAGAGAGTGGGAGTGGGGGGCACGTTTGCCAACATCCGCATTGTTAACAAGTTCATGCAAGGGGAGGTGGGCCCTCATACAGTCCACGTGCCCAGCGGCGAGAAGATGTTCATCTACGACGCCGCTATGGTGAGTCACAGGGTTGGGTTGGTGAGTGCAGGAGGAGGGAGTGCCGACGATCATCCTGGCCGGTGCGGAGTACGGGAGTGGGAGCTCGCGGGACTGGGCGGCCAAGGGGCCGTACCTGCAGGGCGTGAAGGCCGTCATCGCCAAGTCCTCATTCCCTCCTCTCCCCTCCACTCCCCCCTTCCCCCCAGCGCTACAAGGAGGCGGGGGTACCAACCGTCATCTTAGCAGGAGCGGAGTACGGGAGTGGCAGCTCGAGGGACTGGGCGGCCAAGGGGCCGTACCTGCAGGGCGTGAAGGCCGTCATCGCCAAGTCGTTTGAGCGCATCCACCGCAGCAACCTCGTTGGCATGGGCATCATCCCGCTCTGCTTCAAGCCCGGGCAGGACGCGGAGTCGCTCGGGCTGACCGGGTTCGAAAAGTTCTCGGTGCACCTGCCCCCGCTGAAGGAGATCAAGCCGGGGATGGACGTGGAGGTCACGACTGACAACGGCAAGGAGTTCACCACGACTCTGCGATTTGACACCCAGGTGGGTCTGACACATCCAGGTGAGTTTCCTCTTGGCGGATTTTAGGACTCTAAAGTCAACTAGGAGGTTGAGCCGGGGATGGATGTTGAGGTGACGACTGACAACGGCAAGAAGTTCACCACGACTCTGCGATTTGACACCCAGGTGGGTCTCCTCTCGTGTTGCGAGCATGGTTTCTAACGCTCAAGTGGGCCAATACACTCAGGTGGGCCCATCCACTTGGTGTCACCCCCATCCACTTCGTATCTAGTGCGCACCACTTCTTGCCACCACCCCTCGTGTAATAACTTTTGCTGCACTCTGCTTCTCCACCCCCACAGAATGTTACCCTCTTTTCCCCATCACTCATCTCCTCCACTCTCCCTATCACCCCCTTACCCCTCTTCCCTTCCCCTCTCCACCGTCCACAATGCAGGTGGAGCTCACATACTTTGAGAACGGGGGCATTCTGCACTACGTGTTGCGGAGCCTGGCCAAGGACAGCTGAGAGGGGATGTGACGTTAAAACCTGCTTTGGCTAGGGATGGTTTTGATGGAGTTTCTTGACCAGTGGCTTTACCTCCTTGGAATTGTGGTTTTTGATTGATGGGTTGGAACCAGCCTGTGTAGCTGCTTAAGGTTCGGTTTAAAGCCGGAAGCCCAAATTGCACAAGTTTTAAAAGGATGACGTGAGGGGTTTTTTCTGGTTTCGGTTTTGGCGAGTGATTTCGATTTCGGGCATTTCGTTTTTTTTCGCCAAACCCAGCCAGCCCACGTATTTCGCCCTGGGGGTTGTGTCAGCACCCGAAAGTCCCAAATTGCAGGTGCGCTACTTTTCAAAGCTTGCACACTGCACTTCGTTAAGTTTTAAAAGCATGACCCACGCGCCTCGCAATTTGGGACTCGGGCTTTAATAAGCCTGATTTAGTGGCTGGAATGCAATATTCGAGAAGATGCCCAATTGACGCAAATTAGGGCGTGTTCGTTTCTTCTTCAAAAGTTCGAACTTCTTCAGGTTACCAGCTGTCGCCAATGTCGTCAAACTTTTCGCAAGTCAGCTTTTGTGTTGGTGTCCACTCTGTAGAACACTTCGAGTTCGGAGGAATTACTCTCAGATTTTTTTCACGGTTCGAAAAGCGGAAATTTGCACAATTTCGGAATTTTTTTGCCACGCGATTTCGTCGCACATGTGCGACCGTCTGCGACCACAACGATATGTGTATCGCTTGGCGGGAATGTCAAATACAGGAGCCACGTCGACATGCCGAAACATTTTTTTCCGTGTGTATCCTGTGCGACTCTGGCAGGGTTTCGTACGCGATTCGAAAAAGAATCGAATTCCAGGTTTGCCACATCTGATCACCATTTCGAGTACGGTTTTTTCTCTACCACAGCCGCGGTTAGCGAATTTTTGAGAACCTGGTGTTCGACAAACGCTGGCGACCAAATTTCGATTCCAAATTTCGATTTTTTCACTCAATGTAAAAACCAGAGGTCCAAGAGTTTCAAAGTTAGGAAGGTTGGTTGGGCAGAGAAATACAATTGGATGACGAGGAGGTTGGGTTCACGAATTTGTCTAGGGATGTTCGCCCGTCTGGGGATTTCGTCATTGTTACCACAATTGTTGTGCAACATCGCCAGACACACTCTGCGACCAGAACATTGCCAATGGCAGAATATGTGCAGCGGCAGCAACAACTACGAGAAAGTTAGCTGAATCCAGTAACTCAGCTAGTAAACTCACATCATTCGCAGCAAATATAAGCAGGTCCCATCCAGCAACTTAGTAGTCGTTGCTTACGGATGACGGGCCAATACGAGAGTGGTGCGCGTACAGCGACCGCCGATTCCGCCGATGCGCAAGTCTCGCATGTGTCCGCAGAAGTCGAAAGTGAGTAATAGGGAAAGCGCCCAGCTCCCATTCCCCGCTGCGTCGCACTCCATCTACCCCCCGTTTCGCCATCCCTTTCATCCTCGGTACGCACTCCCTTTTCCCCTCGTTTCACGCTCCCATTCCCCCTCGGAACGCGCTCCCGTCACCCCCCACGTGGACCACTCCTATTGTTTCGGGTGTCGCGCTCCTTTTCCGCCTCGTTTAGCCCACCAATTCCCCCTCGTGACGCACTCCCTTCCCCCCTCGTTTCGCACTCTCTTTCCCCCTCGTTTTGCACCCCATTTCCCTTTCGTACCGCGCTCCCTTTCCCCCTCGTTTCGAACTCCGTGTCCCCCTCGTTCCGCACTCCTTTCCCCATCGTGTCGCTCTCCCTTTCCCCCTCGTTTGTCACTCCTTTCCCCCACGGTGGCACTCCCTTTCCCCCTCGTTTCGCCCTCCGGTTCCCCCTCGTTTCGCCCTCCCTGTCCCCCTCTTGTCACACTCCCTTTCCCCCCCGTTTCGCCCTCCCTTTCCCCCTCGTTTCGCACTCCCTGTCCCCCTCGTGTCACACTCTCTCTCCCCCTCGTTTCTCTCTCCCTTTCCCCCACGGTGGCACTCCCTTTCCCCTTTGATAGCACTCCCTTTCCACATCGTTTTGAACTCTCTTTCCCCCACGTTTCGCACCCCATTTCCCCCACGGTGGCACTCCCTTTCCCCCTTGATATCGCTACCATTCCCCCTCGTTTCGCCCTCTCTTTCCCCTTCGTTTCGCACTCCCTCTCCCCCTCTTGTCACACTCCCATTTCCCCTCGTGTCGCACTCCTTTTCCCCCTCGTTTCACACACCCATTCCCACTCCTGTCACACTCCCTTCCCCCCTCTTTTCTCACTCCCTTTTCCCCACGGTGGCACTCCGTTTCCCCTTTGATAGCACTCCCTTTCACCCTCTTTCCGCACCCCATTTCCCCCCTCGTGCCGCGCTCCCTTTCCTCCTCGTTTCGCACTCCATGGCCCCCTCGTTTTGCACTCCCTTTACCCCTCGGTTCGCCCTCCGATTCCCTCTCGTTTCGCACTCCCTTTCCCCCTTCTGTCACCGGCCCTTGCCCCCTCCTTTCACACACCCTTTCCCCCTCCTGTCCCACTCCCTTTCCCCCTCGTTTCTCACTCCCTTTCCCCCACGGCGTCACCCCCTTTCCCCCTCGATATCGTTCTCTTTCCCCCTCGTTTCGCACCCCATTTCCCCCTCCTACTGCGCTCCCTTTCCCCCCTCGTTTCGCAATCCTTTTCCCTGTCGATTCGCACTCCTTTACCCCCTTCCCCTGCCCCCATGTGTATCATTCATTCCCTGTCCCCCACGGTTCCATACCCCTGCCCTCATCCGTATCATTCATTCTCCTCACCCCACGGTTCCATTCCCCTGCCCCATGTGTATCATTCATGGGGTGAATCAAGGGGGAAAGAGAGAGAGCAGCGGGGACATGGGGTGAATCATGGGGGAAAGAGAGAGAGCAGCGGGGACATGGGGTGAATCAAGGGGGAAAGAGAGAGAGCAGCGGGAAGCGCAATGCGTGAAGGGGAGTTGCTGGATGCTGGGGAAGGGAAGGTGGGCGGGCTGACAACAGGGAATGTGCGCGCGTGGGGAAGGGAATGTGCGCGCGTGGGGAAGGGAATGTGCGCGCGTGGGGAAGGGAATGTGCGCGCGTGGGGAAGGGAATGTGCGCGCGTGGGGAAGGGGATGTGCGCGCGTGGGGAAGGGGATGTGCGCGCGTGGGGAGGGGGATGTGCACGCTTCGGGGGGAAGGGGATGTGCGCGCGCTGGGGAAGGGGATTTGCTCGCGGTGGGAAGGGAATGTGCGGGCTCTGGGGAAGGGAATGTTTGCGCGCGGGCGGAGTGCAGTTGCGCGCGCTAGTGAAGGGAACGTGCGCGCGATGGGGAAGGGAACGTGAGCGCGCTGGAGAAGGCAACGTGCGCGCGCAGGAGGGGGGCATGTGCGGGCGCTTGGGAGGAGAGTGTTTGGGCGATTGTGATGGGATTGTGCGCGCGATTGAGAAGGGAATAGCTGGGCCCTGCGGACTCCAATGTCCTGGCGCTGCGGAAAGGAATATCCGGGCGCTGCGGAACGGATTGACTGGGCGCCGCGGAAAGGAATGTCTGGGCGCACTGTGTGGGCATGTCTGGGCGTTGGAGAAGGAAGTATGATGGTGACGCAGACCTGGAATGGCATGGCGACGCAGAGGAATAGGGAGGGCGGCGCGCAGGGACTGTGAGAAGGACGGGAGAAGATTATACCGGCTTATGCGCGCAGAAACGTGGGCTGAGGTCTTCAAACGTGGAGTTCTACCCTGGTCGACGCGGAGTGTGATTACACGGCGCGTGTAGGCCTGCACAAACCCTATCTTTTGCTGGCTCTGAAGGCCGTCACTTCCTAGCCATGCGTGAAAGGTGCGGGCTTTTTACAATCAGGTCGTTTCTGTGGAGTGGAGATGCCACATTTGCTGCGCCAGGATGTGGGCTATAGCCTAATATTCCGGAAACTAACCCTACTACCAACGGGTCCCTTCCCGTTGCGGAGTCGTAAAAGAGCTGGCGTTATCAATGTGTTGACTAAGATGGCAAGGGACTTAGGATATGGCGCATTAGCTTCTAATGGCAGCTCGATTGAGCGTTCGAGTCCCAAGTTGTTCCCCGCTGATTTCAGGCTTCCTGCTTTTGGTGCATGTGCGATTGTTTCAGGTGAGTGCGAGGGTCGCTGCTACAGTTGTTTGATTGTTGTGCGATAGCTTCAGGTGGCGGAGTGTGTCGCGCCAACAGTGATTTCGGTTGACGAACTTTCGAAAACAGGCAGGGCCTAGTGATTCAGTGGGACTGAAGAGCAACAGGGTAACACCCTTTCAAAGTTAGGAAGCTTGAGGCACTTTGGGGCTGTTTGGGACTCCGGTTTTAAATATATTGAAACATATTTGAAGATGCCCAATTTATTACTGTGTGCATCTAATGATATGTTGTAATGGATTCACTTTGTGGCCAGAAAACGTAAACTTGTCTGTGCTTGAGAAACTGCTTAGTATCAAGTTATTTTCACATATAAAACAGGAAACTATAATTAGTTTGATACTACTTGTGCTTTGCACCTGCTTTTTCAATCTGACGAAATTACATATAACAGACTTTCACAGGTTCCTTTTTGACAATGCGACGAAGCATTTCATTCGACAACTTCATAGCGAAGTATTCACCCAGCCCTGATCACTTCTCCCCGTCAGGGGTTTCGTCAGAGATGTGCGGAGCCGCCACCAACATGCACAATTTGTGGGCTACCCCACACACCCAGCCTGTACCCCCCACACACACGAGAGCCTCGCAGAGTATGGGAGAATAGGCATCCAGCCTCTCTCACTCTCGCAGCTAGTGGCTTGTTGGTGGCGAACAATGGGATCGAGCCGCAACACATGCTATCAGTGGCAGCTGGTTTCGCCAGCCAGCATGCCAGTTTCGAAGGTGTTGTCTGGTTACCACGTATCGTCTCATTTCCAGTGTAGCAAACAATCATAATGGCGCGAACACTATTTTGTGAAGGGCCTGATGCTTTGGAATGACCCTGAACCCGGATTGGTCAGAGTTTCACTTCACCTGACATTTCCCATCGGCCTCCCCGCCCATCATGGGAAATCCCATGGGAAACCAAATCTTCGGCCACACGCTGTAAAAACTGCATGAGGTGCGCAAGGGCAAATCTGGCAGTGTGCCAGCATGGCGCCAGTGACCAGGTGCTTTTTCCTCCAGCTCGCTCAACCTAAGCTGGTTTTGCTGGAAAATCTGGCGCCACTCTCGGGTTGCTCGAGCCGCAGGGAGCCCCTACGCTGGGAGATGGAAGTCAGCCCCACTGCCCTCGGCGACATGCAGGGAACGAAAAAATCCGCGTCGCATCCTACAAATATTCCCACGACTCGAATTTGTATGTCATTCCATCTTCCGTACTTCGACAGTGCTAAAAGCTCTCTCGACAGCCAAATTTCAACGACAAACGCCACTCCGCAATCGAATGAGCCACGAATCAAGCGCGTAGAAATAAAACGATTCAACATAACGTCTAAAGACTGCGATACGCAATGGCATCCATGACTTCACCAGACGAAGCGCACATCAGCATGGACTCTCCAGCCGGAGCTATCGAAGCAGTCGTGGGGTCGTTTCTCAACCTCCCGTCCGTCCCCGCCCTCACACAGCCCACCGAAGCCAAAGCCGCGTCGGCCGAGCCAAACACCTCCGCTGGCGACGCGAACAGCGACGAGTGCGAAAGCAGCGACGATGGCGACGATAGCGAAGACGGCGACGACGAAGCCGGCAACCAGATGGATCTGATGCTCGCTATGATGCGACTGCTGCAGAAGCAAATGCCGAAAAAGAAGAAGACGGTTTGTAGCAAGAGCAAGAGCAAAAGCAAGGCGATTGAATCCGCGACGCCGCTGCTGAATGGACGGGGATCCTCCATGGATCAGGAGCAGCTGCTCACCGTTCTCTCTAAAGCACTTTCTACTATGGATTCCCCCGACGACGAGCCCGCCACGTCGACCCCCAAGCAGAAGCGCGCCAAGCTGAGCGCCGATAACAAGAAGCCCGCCGGCCCGCGCCAAATGCCCCAGCTGGCGCGCCCTTGCGCGGATTCCGCCGCGCCCGCGCAGCAGAAGGGGAATGTGGGGGGTTGCGGCGCGGAGGGAGGCGAGGATACGATTCTGCATTGCTTTATGGATCAGCTGCCGCAGATCGACGGTCACCTGGACGCGATGATCGCGGCGGCGGATGCGGCGGTTGACCCGCAGGAAGCGCAGCCGTCGCCGACGGAGCACGTGAGCAGCAGCGCAGGTGCGAGCGCCAGGGGCTGCTCCGCGCAGCAGAACAATGCGCGCGACGACGGCGCGGGATCAGGCTCTCGGTTCCCCCCGCCCAACACGCCGCATTTCTCGGCGCACGAGCGGCAAACCGGGTCGTGGGACGCCGTCAGCAGCAGCAGCATGGATAGCTCCGCTGCCGCCGCCGCCGCCGCCGCTGCCGCAGCGCTCGCGGTCAACTCGCGGAAGCGCAAGTCGGGGGAGGACGGGGGAGCGTATGCGGGGAACGGGGGGAACGGTGAGCAGGCGGCGATCAGCAGCCGGTCGGCGTCAGAGGCGCGATGGAACGGAAACGGACAGATGCAGGAGTGCCGGCCGCTGTCGCTGCCACACCCAACGAGCAACGGCCCTGTGGTTGTGAGCAGGCAGCAGATGCAGCAGTCAGCGTGCAAGCCGCCCCTTCTCTCGCTCCCTGCCGCCTGCCTCGCCACTCCTGGCTCTGCGCCTCTGCTCCGCGCGCCCGTCTCGAATGCGTCCGCCGCTTCCGCCCCGCCTCCCCCTGCCACCCCCCTCCGCATGCTCACCGTCCCTGCTGACGTGTCCCCCAACGCAGCGCCCATGGCGCGGCCGAACGTGATGGACAGGTTCGGCGGTGTGGGGGAGGATTTGTCGGCTGATCAACCCCTGGGGTTTCCAGTGAGGTTCGGAGGCAAGCGCATGGATGATTGTTACACTGACGGTACTGGTAACCATGCATCAGGAAATGGTGGTTACAACGACAGTGGTAACGGGTGCGACGATGGAGGCATGGGTTACGATGACATGGGTGGAGATGACATGGACGACTGGATGCCGCGCAGCCGCGGCCGCAAGGACCGGCAGGTGGTGGGCGGGCGCATCAAGGCGCGGAGCATGGCGGAGAGGCAGAGGCGGGAGAGGATCAGCGAGGGGCTGCAGAAGCTGCGAATGGCAGTCCGTGGCCATGGGGACACGGCCACCATGCTGGATAATGCTGTCGCGTACGTGCAGGCGCTGCAGAGGCGAGTGACATCGCTCGAGACAAACATGCTGCTGCACCAGGCGTCCTGTGGGGGTCTTGGTCAGGCTGGGGGCGCACTCGGCGGTGGCAACGGATCCAACTCCAATAACAGGGGCCGCCATGCTAATGGCTTCATCAACCCCTCCCAGTTTGGTTCTCTTTTTGGCTTGGACGTCTGAGTCCAAGGTTTACCTAAAACAAATAAATGGATGCCCAGATATCAGGGCTACCTACTTGGAATAAAGTGTGCCGTACCTTGTATGGCATGGTGTTTGGTGTTGTAATTTGATTTACTAACTTATATTAGTAGGTTATTCAATTATTGTGACTATTAAGATGTATGCATCTAGCTGTCCAAGACAACGAGCCATGCTCTTATGGAAGATGAATTATTTTATGTTCACCAAAGTTCAGGTAATTTGACCAGCTTCACACCCTTAAAGCCCAAGATCAGCATGGTTTTTGCCAAAAAAACTGAAGGGGTTTAATCGTGTTGGCGAAAGTAAAAAAAAATCATTTCGGGAATATGGGCGGGGCGAAAGCGAGATCATTCAACGAGTAGATTGTCTAGTCGTCACTCAACATCGGTTGGAGCGTGCGACAACCAACCCAACTGAGCGTGAAAAAACCACCCAAGTGTGAGCTATTCTTGAGTTAGTAATAATCAACAAGAAAACTCCTTCCCTTCCCTCATTTAGCTCCTCCTCTCGCCGCGCTTCCCATTTCCGCGTTCCCCCGCCCATCGTCGCGCCACCCGCTGTCGCGCCAACGAACCTTTCGTCGCGCATCCTCTCGTACCTCGCCTCCCATCGTCGCGCCTCCTCGCCGCGCCTCCCGTCGTCACGCCTCCCGTCGTTTCTGGGAGCCTCCGCTCGTCGCGCCTCCGCTCGCCTCGTCGCCCCTCCGCTCGCCTCGTCGCGCCTCCGCTCGCCTCGCCGCGCCTCCGCTCTCCTCGCCGCGCCTGCGCTCGCCTCCGCGCGCCTCCTCTCGCCTCGTCGCGCTTCCTCTCGCCTCGTCGCGCCTCTGCTCGCCTCGTCGCGCTTCCGCTCGCCTCGCCGCGCCTCCACTCGCCTCGCCGCGCCTCCGCTCGCCTCGCCGCGCCTCCCTGCCATCAGCGCGCCAACACCCTCGTCGCGCTGCCCCTCCTCGCCGCGCCTCCACTCCCGCTGTCCTTCTCCCACCTGTCCTCCCTTGCCGTCGGTTCCCTGCCCTTCCATTCCCTCTTGTTACCTTCCCCTTATTTTTCCCTCTGCTTCCCCTCGTTCCCCCCTCTCCTTCCCTTCCCCTGCTTCCAATCATTTCTCCACCTGCTTCCCCTCATTTACTCCCCTGCTTCCTCTCGCTTTCCCCTATGCTTCTCCTCGTTTCCCCCTCTGCTCTCCTCGTTTCCCCCTCTGTTCTCCTCGTTTCCCCCTCTGCTCTCCTCGTTCTCCCTGTGCTTTCCCTCATTTCCTCCCCCCCTTCCCCTCATTTCCCCCGCTCCTTCCCCTCATTTCTTTCCCTGCTTCCCTTCATTTCCCTTCCTGCTTCTCCTCATTTCCCTCCCTGCTTCCCCTCGTTTCCCCCCCTGCTTCCCCTCATTTCCCCCGTTGATTCTCCTCATTTCCCTTCTTGATTCCCCTCATTTCCCTCCCTGCATCTCCTCATTTCCCTTCATGCTTCTCCTCATTTCCCTCCCTGCTTCCCCTCGTTTCCCCCCCTGCTTCCCCTCATTTCCCCCGTTAATTCCCCTCATTTCCCTTCTTGATTCCCCTCATTTCCCTCCCTGCTTCTCCTCAGTTCCCCCCTTGATTCCCCTCATTTCTCTCCCTGCTTCCCCTCATTTCCCTCCCTGCTTCCCCTCATTTCCCCCCTTGATTCTCCTCATTTCCCTCCCTGCTTCTCCTCATTTCCCCCCTTGATTCCCCTCTTTTCTCTCCTTGCTTCCCCTCATTTCCCTCCCTGCTTCCCCTCATTTCCCCCCTTGATTCTCCTCGTTTCCCCCTCTGTTTCCCCACGTTCCCCCCTTTGATTTCTCTCGTTTTCCCTCCTCCTTCCCCTCATTTGCCTCGCTGGTTCCCCTCATTTACCCTCCCTGATTCACCTCATTTCCCTCCCTATTTTCCTGTTTGTACCCTCCTGCTTCCCCTCATTTCCCTCCGTTGCTTCTCCTCATTTCCCTCCGTTGCTTCTCCTCATTCCCCCTCTGTTTCCGCTTGTTTCCCCACCTGCTAAACCTTCGTTTCCCCCTCTTCCTTCCCTCGTTTCATCTTCCAATTTCCCCCGTTCCCTCTTTCCCTTTGTCCCTATCCTCCCTCTTCCTAAGGTATTTCCTTCTTTCCCTCTCACCCTCTTCCTTTCACCTCCTTTCTCTTCCCCCCTGCTTCCCTCTTCCCCCTCTTCCCTATCTCCCCTATCTCCGCACTTCTCATCTCTGTGTTTGACCTTTTTCCTTGTTCCCCCTCCCCATCCCTCGTAATCTCTCTCTCTACCTGGCTATCGCAGTGACTACACTGAAGCCTTTTCTGGTACCGGTACTTCAACTCGCCTCAGCCCATCTTCCATGCCATGCTCTTAGCGTAACCTGTTCCCCTCATGGTTTTTTCAAGGCCTTGAGAAAGGTTCAGTTGTATTGTTCATGGTTTTTCTCTTAGTGTCCATGCATCTTGGAAAAATATCTTGCACTGCAAAAATAAAAGTACATGGAGAGCCTTTGCGATGCATATCGCCAACAGTAATACAGTATCATGCTTGCATACAACACACAAGAAACAGGTGGTAAGGCAATGTAAAGCATTGATGGCTTGCGCCTCAACTTGCAACTGATGCTCCTTTGCCTCACCACTGAGAGAGGGTAGAAGAAAGAAAGAATTGCGTGAAGAAACATGGGGGAGGTGGTGTGAGGTGCAACGGAACAATGGCAGGGGAATACAAGCAAGCGCACATGATGAAAGCATGAATGGGGAAATAGAGATGGGTGCACATGCATGGGAAGTAGAGGGCAGAAGGTGAGGAGTGAGGGGGAAGGGGAGGGCATGAAAAGGAGTTGATGGGGAAGGGAAGGCTTGAGAAGGGAAGGGGATGGTGGGAAGCAGGGAAGGGGATGGGGGGAAGCAGGGAAGGGGACATGGGGAAGTAGGGAAGGGGATGGGGGGAAGCAGGGAAGGGGATGGGGGGAAGCAGGGAAGGGGACATGGGAAAGCAGGGAAGGGGACGGGGGGAAGCAGGGAATGGGATGATGGGAAGCAGGGAAGGGGATGGGGGGAAGCAGGGAAGGGGATGGGGGGAAGCAGGGAAAGGGATGGGGAGAAAAAGGGTAGGGGATGGGGGGAAGCAGGGAAAGGGACATGGGGAAGTAGGGAAGGGGATGGGGGGAAGCAGGGAAGGGGATGGGGGGAAGCAGGGAAGGGGATGGTGGGAAGCAGGGAAGGGGATGGGGGGAAGCAGGGAAGGGGATGGTGGGGAGCAGGGAAGGGGACATGGGAAAGCAGGGAAGGGGACGGGGGGAAGCAGGGAATGGGATGGTGGGAAGCAGGGAAGGGGATGGGGGGAAGCAGGGAATGGGATGGGGGGAAGCAGGGAAGGGGACTTGGGGAAGTAGGGAAGGGGATGGGGGGAAGCAGGGAAGGGGATGGGGGGAAGCAGGGAAAGGGATGGGGGGAAGCAGGGAAAGGGATGGGGAGAAAAAGGGTAGGGGATGGGGGGAAGCAGGGAAGGGGATGGTGGGAAGCAGGGAAGGGGATGGTGGGGAGCAGGGAAGGGGATGGGGGGAAGCAGGGAAAGGGATGGGGAGAAAAACGGTAGGGGATGGGGGGAAGCAGGGAAAGGGACATGGGGAAGTAAGGAAGGGGATGGGGGGAAGCAGGGAAGGGGATGGGGGGAAGCAGGGAAGGGGATGGTGGGAAGCAGGGAAGGGGATGGGGGGAAGCAGGGAAGGGGATGGTCGGGAGCAGGGAAGGGGACATGGGAAAGCAGGGAAGGGGACGGGGGGAAGCAGGGAATGGGATGGTGGGAAGCAGGGAAGGGGATGGGGGGAAGCAGGGAATGGGATGGGGGGAAGCAGGGAAGGGGACTTGGGGAAGTAGGGAAGGGGATGGGGGGAAGCAGGGAAGGGGATGGGGGGAAGCAGGGAAAGGGATGGGGGGAAGCAGGGAAAGGGATGGGGAGAAAAAGGGTAGGGGATGGGGGGAAGCAGGGAAGGGGATGGTGGGAAGCAGGGAAGGGGATGGTGGGGAGCAGGGAAGGGGATGGGGGGAAGCAGGGAAAGGGATGGGGAGAAAAAGGGTAGGGGATGGGGGGAAGCAGGGAAAGGGACATGGGGAAGTAGGGAAGGGGATGGGGGGAAGCAGGGAAGGGGATGGGGGGAAGCAGGGAAGGGGATGGGGGGAAGCAGGGAAGGGGATGGTGGGAATCAGGGAAGGGGATGGGGGGAAGCATGGAAAGGGATGGTGGGGAGCAGGGAAGGGGACATGGGAAAGCAGGGAAGGGGACGGGGGGAAGCAGGGAATGGGATGGTGGGAAGCAGGGAAGGGGATGGGGGGAAGCAGGGAATGGGATGGGGGGAAGCAGGGAAGGGGACTTGGGGAAGTAGGGAAGGGGATGGGGGGAAGCAGGGAAGGGGATGGGGGGAAGCAGGGAAAGGGGATTGGAAAGGGGGCGTGACAAGTGTGGGAGTTGGGAAGGGAGAAGGGAGGGATGGCGACAGTGACGGGGATGCCAGGGCGACGAGGGGAGAGAGATACGGGGATTGCGAGGGGACGAGCGGGAGGGAGGGCGACGAGCAGCAGGGAGCGCGACGAGACAAAGGGGGGCAACGGGCGGAATGGAGCGCGACGAGGGGAAGGTAGGGCGGCGGGCGGTCGGGAGGACAATGAGAGGAAGGGAGGGCGACGAGACGAAGGGAGGGTGACGGGCGGAAGGGAGGGCGACGGGCGGAAGGGAGGGCGACGGGCGACGGGCGGAAGGGAGGGCGACGGGCGGAAGTGAGGGCGACGGGCGGAAGTGAGTGCGACGGGCGGAAGGGGATGCGACGAGCGCTAGGGAGTGCGACGGGCGGAAGGGAGGGCGACGGGCGGAAGTGAGTGCGACGGGCGGAAGGGGATGCGACGAGAGCTAGGGAGTGCGACGGGCGGAAGGGAGGGCGACGGCGGAAGGGAGTGCGACGCGCGCTAGGGAGGGCGACGGGCATAAGGTAGGGCGACGGTTGAGGGGAGATCCATGGGCGTAAAGGAGTGCGACAGGCGGAAGGGAGTGCAGGCACGCGGAAGGGAGTGCAGGCACGCGGAAGGGAGTGCGACGGGCGGAAGCGGGTGCGTCGAGAAGTTGGCAAGCGTCTTGAAGACAGGCAAGCGCCCGTTCCTTGCGCTTCGCGCGTAGATGTGAGCGCCCGCGTCCCTACAGAATTGGGCGTTTCACGTGACGTTTTTCTTTATGCTGGCTTTTTTTTATGGAGAACAACACACAGGCTGCTGCAAGGATACAGACAGCTCGCTGCCATTGTGAAAATTAGGGCTAACGCGCTCTTGTGGTCCTGAATAGCGGAGTAGACTACGTGTCTGTGCCTGAATATGGCTGCACATTAGTACAACTTGGTTTTCAAGTTAACTGAATGTGAACAGTGCTCCATCTCCCGTAGACACTTCACTCCAAAGACTTGTTTTGTCGCTGGCCAATCATGCATCAGGGTTGCAAAACCTCTCCTCTGTGAAGCGACGGAATGCTTCACTTCGGGTGGTAACTTGGTTTTTGGCGAGTTCATATTCAAGAATCTTGAATTTGAAAACAGCCATGTGGAACTCGGGTTTTAAGCCAATTTAATTAATGGTGGTACCATGCTCGTTATGGTACATTTGATAGAATGCCTGACCGAAACAGGTACTGCACAACGACGAACCTAAACTTGCTAGCATGATCCCACACGTACGGCGCCTGATTTAACATCGAGTGAACATCATATACGATTTTCACTGAGGGAAGATTGCTACGGTATGAATGCCTTTCTATTTCCTATTTGAATTTATGAACAAGCAAAAAAACACTAATTTCTGGTCCTGTATAGTCAAAGAAACACCGACAATTCAAAGTACGGTATGTCATCAGTGGCTTTATCTTTAACTCACATTGTAAGTGCTTCTCACTGCCCCATCACCAACGTATTCTGAACTCCAACCTCAATACAATTGCAGAACTTCCTATACTGGGTGCCACAAGTTTTCAGGTTCGACGGGGAAGACATGCTCAGGTGTTTTGCCTGGTTGTAGGGTTCCAGCTTTCAGGCAAAAGTATGGCAGGCGCTGGAAATGCAATTTTGCAAGCAAGGATCCGATTTGCCTGCCCCAATTCGCAATGGGTGTCAGAATCATGGCGGAAGGCACATTTGCGGCTTTCGTTCAAAACACCTGGGTCCTGGCACGAGGGCACCATGGGCTGGCTTTGATTTCGCTAGGAAAAGAACGGACCAGCGTCCCGCAATCGTAATTAGGGGCACACAAAAACCAATCGCGACATGGTTACTGTTGATCAGTCTCGGCAGGCTACAGTGTTAACAAGATTCTCCCCCACGAGGCCAACGAGGCGAATCATGCGCGTACGGATTTGATGCATCACATGATAGCAACTGGTGGACAGACTGACATGATGTCAGCATCAGTTCAGGTCAGGTGCTTCGCAAACTGGCATGACAAACCACCCAGCTTGCGAAGCTTGCGTCCAAGCGAAAGCAGGGTCGTAACCACTCGACTTCGCCACAAGGCCCGCTTGACAGCCCCTGCGGGTCTGCTGGGGGGACTTGGCACAGCCTTGCGGGAACTCTTGGATGTTTTCGCTGGCTTTCGCAGGCAGCGGCAAGCTCGGCAGGCGAAACTCGAGGGGGCAACAGGCTGTGCCTGCGACATCAATGCCCGCCGCCAAGCCCCAGAGGCACAGCACAGCGAATGGGACTCCCACCCGTATTCTTCGTTCAGGGACATCCTCAGACTCCGAGAGAAATGCCCACTCGCTTCCTATAAATTCTGGGCCTTCTGACTTCAGTTTCATACTTCCAGCTTCACTTTCTTACTACCAGCAGTACTCAGGACGCACATTCGAGCTTACGCAATTTTCTATCAATACCTCCCACTGTCACTCGTCGCTCTGATCGATCACCTTCACACACAGTTCAAAACTCCCGAAAATGGCACTCGCAGATATTGACCAGTCGCCTTTCGAGCACCTGTTCGACTTAGAAAGCATGCCCGCGTGCCCCGACAATGGCGACATAGACGCGGCAGTCGATTCGTTTCTCAATCTCCCCGCCACAGCCTTTCCGTGGACCCCCAGCGACAACAACGCCGGGGCCCTCAAACCCGAGGCTCCAGTAGCCGCGAATCTTGGTGGTAAGCCCGCCGGAAAGAGCAGCGGGAAGAGCGGAAAAGCGAAGGCGAAAAAGGCGGCGCAGCGCGAGACGCAGAAGCAGCTGCTCGCGGCAATCATGGAGGCCCTCGCCGACTCAGACGACACCGACGAGCCGTCCTCGCCAGAATCCCCCGTCGCCCCTTCCCCCGCCTCAGCAAAGCGCGCCAAGCAGGCTCCCGGCGACGTCGCGTCGTCCCGCCGGTTACCGCAATTGGACAGTCTGAGCAACAGCAGCCCCGCGAGCAGTGGTAACCCGTCGTCCGCACTTCTCGATTCGTTCCTGGGCCAGCTGCCGCAAGTGGATATGCACCTCGATGCGATCATCGCCGCACTTGACGGGCCGGCAGCCTACGCGGCGCAGCCGGCGGCGGGTCAGACGGGGAGCAGCAGCGCAGCGGTGGCGCAGCTGCGGGCTCGCAATAACGAAGCAGAAAGGGTGCTTATGCGCAGCAGCAGCACCAGCAGTGTGGACAGCTCTGTCGCGGAAGCCGCCGCTGCCGCCGCCGCCGCGCTGGCCGCAGGGTCGCGGAAGCGCAAGGCGTCGGAGAGCGAGGTGGTTTCCCCCGCAGCGGCTGTTGCCCCTAGCGCAGCCGTGGGCAGTAACGAGGCGGAGGTTTCTCGCCAAATGCGCCGCGCGCTTGGCGCTGCCATCCTAAGCAGCGGACCGTGCCCCGCACCCGCTGCTTTTCCCGCTCCCGCGCCTCCCCCGGCCGCGCTGCCAGTGGTTAGTCACGCCTATCCCCTCGGAAGGACCGTCGGCCATCACGGTCCGCTGCAGATGCCGATTTGTCTGCCCACCGCTCCTTCCGTCGCGCCTGGGCCCCTAGCTATCTCCGCGCCTGACGCAGCAGCTTGCATGAACAATGACAACTCAGATGATGACATGGCGGGTTTTGGCGGAAGTCCCGCGTGCGGAGGCGCCAATGGTGCAGCGGATGATGGGGATGATTGGATGCCGCGCAGCCGTGGGCGCAAGGACCGGCAGGTGGCGGGCGGGCGCATTAAGGCGCGGAGCATGGCGGAGAGGCAGAGGCGGGAGAGGATCAGCGAGGGTCTGCAGAAGCTGCGCATGGTAGTGCGCGGGCACGGGGACACGGCCACGATGCTTGATAATGCCGTCGCGTACGTGGACGCGTTGCAGCGCAGAGTGAGCTCATTGGAGACCACTCTGCTGCTGCACAAGGCGTCGTGCAAACACCCTGGACAGACTGATTGCTCCTTGGCCTCACCTGGAGAATCTTCTGAGCTGTTGTAGACGGTTTTTTCAGGTGGATCTCGTATAGGATTAACATTACTAACTAATAAAGCTAAGTACGTTTCCGTGTGTCATATTGGTTGTATTTCCAATGTATGATATGTACCATCTTGAGAATAGCATTACCCCTTTTGAAGTTGTTGGAGATTACGTGTGTTGGAAGCAAGGTGGTGGTGGGGCGTTTGTATGCCCCCAACCCACCGAATGTGTGACTTGTGCTCACCTTCGAGTGAGGTTTGCGTGGGGTTGAGGATTGACTTCGGAAGACCCATTCGATTCGGTGCCACATGGCAGCACCAGGAACATTCGAGACCCAAGGAGAATTCGGATCGGTGAAATTCGAGAGTCGAATTTCACCCTTTCGATGTTACTCGAACATTCGCGAGTGTAGCGGTTCGAGGTTACTTGTGCGATTCGATCTTGTTTGCATGCTATAAATCTGTTTTCTTTGTATTGCATGCCATCATACTGAAAATCAGAGTTTTCTATACACAGTTCAACTCGACACAAAATCCAGAGACTTTCTATCCTTCAATCTTAGAGCACTACCTAGCACGTTGAAAGCCGTATCTCAGCCGATACTTGGGCGAATTACGTGTTCTACGGCTCCTTGGAAAGCCAAGAGTGTGCTCTACTGCTTGAAACAATTCCTAGTTCCTGCCAACTAGAGGACACGCCTCTACATCAGTGGTATCAGAGCTGGTCGGAGGAGTCTACGCGCGCGACAAGGAGCACGCATGATGACTTCAAGCGAGGCCTCCCGCACTTCCTTGGATGGTGTCGTTGTAAATTCCGGCGAACCCTGGGCAACCGCGACGATGTTCGACACGTCGGCGGTACCGATTTTCACGGGACAAAACTACTCCGCGTGGAAGTTTAAGTTCCAAGTGCTCATGATGGAGCGGGGACTTTGGGGTTTCTTCGATGGAACGGAGAAGAAGCCGGACGATGAGAGCGGCATCGCGGCATGGAAGAAGAAGGACCAAAAGGCGTTCGCTACGTTGATTTCACGCATCGGCATCAATCTCGTGAGCTCGGTGCGCATGTGCATCAAGCTCGAAGCGTCGGCGCATGAAGCGTGGAAGCGGCTCGAGACCATCCACGTGAACAAGACTCTCCACGGCAAGATCCTAGCCCGGAATGCGTTCTACACGGTGAATATGCGCGCGGGCGAATCGATGCACGAGTTTGCGACTCGTGTGGAGGAACTCGGGGAAACGTTCATGGACCTCGGTGGAACGGTCACGGAGGAGGATTGGATTCTCACCTTGCTTTGCGGCCTTCCGGAAGAGTGGTCGACGGTGATTACGACACTCGATAGCGTGCAAGACACTTGGACGAAGGAAATGGTGGTTGGTCGGCTTCTCCATGAAGAATCGCGTCGCCGACAATTCGCTAATGAGAGCGAGGGTGCCGCCATGTACTCCGGAGGGAGTTCCGGAAAGAAGTCCAAGTGGAGCAAGGACGCAACGAAGGAATCGTCCGGTGGGAGCGAGCATCGCGGCAAGTGTCACTATTGCCGCAAACCGGGACACTTTTGGCGTGAGTGTCGAAAGCGGCCGAGCGATTGGACTCCATCGATGGCGCGGGACCAAGAGTGCAACGCGCACACGGCATCCGGCGAGGCGGATGATACGAGGGAGTCGATCGTGTTATTGGCCGGTGACGGGAACAACACACCAAGCGACGCGTGGTTCCTCGACACCGGCGCAACACAACACATGACGCACTCGGCATCGTTCCTCACCAACGTTGGTGCACCGGGAGACGTCACGCGCGTCGTCTTCGGAAACAACAAGTCGCTACCGGTGGTCGGAGTTGGGAGTACGCGTCTCATCGTCGATGGCGGACCGGTGGACATCACGAACGTGCTTCACGTCCCGGGGTTGAAGGTGAATCTACTCTCCGTAACTCAACTCGCGAAGAAAGACGTGAAGGTCACCATCGATGGCGCGACGATGAACCTCTTTTGGAAGGGGAAGCAATTCGCACAAGGCGTTCTCAACGGAGAACTCTACCAACTCAAGACGCACCCGAGAGCGGCTTCATCCAACGTGGCGCAAGGGTCCAAGGCCACTCTCAAGGCGTGGCATAATCGGCTTGCGCACGCCAACTACGACTCGGTCAAGGAGTTGGCCAACAAAGGACTTGCGAAGGGAGTCGACGTGATCGCCGGCGACGACGAGAAGGGCGTGTGCGCGGCGTGTGTCGAAGGAAAAATGGCTCGCAAGCCATTCGGTAGCCGAACGTCACCCCTCACTAAGGACCCGCTTGCGCTTGTTCACATGGACGTGTGTGGACCGATGCGGCATGCATCAAAGGGAGGAGCGCGGTTCCTCTTGGTGATGCTCGACGACGTGACGCGGATGTGTTGGACCCGGCTCTTGAAGGCAAAAGGCGATGCAGCCAAGGCAATTCAAGATTGGGCGCTCGAAGTTTGCGACGATGACAAGAAGCGGATCAAGTGTATTCGCACCGATGGTGGTGGCGAATTCGTGAATGCGGAGCTCGAGAAATGGATGAAGTGCAAGGGCATTAAGCACGACGTCACAACACCCTACACACACCAACAAAATGGAGTGGCGGAGCGGCTTAATCGTACGTTGGTGGAAGCCGTTCGTTCTCTTCTTCAACACTCCAAGCTTGGGAAAGAGTGGTGGGGCGAGGCGAGTTCGCTAGCGGCGTGGATTCGCAACCGTTTGCCGACGAAGGTGCTCCCGGGAATGACTCCGTTCGAAGCATGGACCGGAACGAAGCCGAACCTATCCCGCCTTCGCACCTTTGGGTGCCTTTGCTACTACCATGTACCGGATCCCCTTCGCCACAAGTTGCAACCGAAGGCTCGTGCGGCGATCTACTTGGGAATTGCGGCGAACGAGCGTGCGTGGCGAGTGTGGGACTTGGGCGACAAGTGCGTCGTCACGTCTCGGGACGTGGTCTTCGATGAAGACAAGTTCCCGTCGAAGGAGAAACCCACTCAACAACTCACCTTCATCCTTCCGCCACGAGAGGAGGTTGAAGAGAGTGAGACTCCACCTCAAGTGGAGAAGGAAGCCGATGGAGGGGGAGCGAACAACGAGGAGAGCATTGATGATGTCGTGGAGGTGTCACCAACCGAGGCGGCAACTACCTCCACACCTTCCTCCCTACCATTGGCCTTGACCCGCGAGCGTCGTGAGGTTCGTCCTCCCTCCAAGTACAACGACTACGCTACGGTAGCCGTTGGGGAGACGGATAAGGAGGGCGCGGCATTTTGCTTCGCAACCAAGGGTGATGATGAACACGCGAAATCTCTCATGGAACCACCCCCTAAAGATTCATCCCGTGCATGCTATGAGCATGTTGGTTTGCACACCCAGTGGGTTGGGTGCAAGGGGGAGTGTTGGAGATTACGTGTGTTGGAAGCAAGGTGGTGGCGGGGCGTTTGTATGCCCCCAACCCACCGAATGTGTGACTTGTGCTCACCTTCGAGTGAGTTGCAGATTTGCGTGGGGTTGAGGATTGACTTCGGAAGACCCATTCGATTCGGTGCCACATGGCAGCACCAGGAACATTCGAGACCCAAGGAGAATTCGGATCGGTGAAATTCGAGAGTCGAATTTCACCCTTTCGATGTTACTCGAACATTCGCGAGTGTAGCGGTTCGAGGTTACTTGTGCGATTCGATCTTGTTTGCATGCTATAAATCTGTTTTCTTTGTATTGCATGCCATCATACTGAAAATCAGAGTTTTCTATACACAGTTCAACTCGACACAAAATCCAGAGACTTTCTATCCTTCAATATTAGAGCACTACCTAGCACGTTGAAAGTCGTATCTCAGCCGATACTTGGGCGAATTACGTGTTCTACGGCTCCTTGGAAAGCCAAGAGTATGCTCTACTGCTTGAAACAATTCCTAGTTCCTGCCAACTAGAGGACACGCCTCTACATCAGAAGTGACTCGCAAACGTGGTTTCTAACATTCTTTATTCAATTCGGCATGAGCCTGACAGCTAAGCTCGAGAATTGGTGCGATTTCGTATCTGCTATGACCATAAGCGAACGTGAACCATGTACCGTAGGTGTAGGGACAGGGGGGCACGGGTATGGTGGACGATTTGCAGCACGGGAGGCGTAAGAGGCAATTTCAGCGAGGCAATTTCAGCGAAAATCTCGTGTAACCTGCATCGCGGAAGACACTTTTACTAGAATAGGCTCCTAATACGAGAACTGGAGCCTACAATCCGCGCCAGATCTGAAGCCAATCTCCTAACTACAGTTTCTTGGACAAGTTTGCTAGTGTGGAACTCTCTCCCAACCCAACAAGCCAGAAAGGAGGTGTTTCTTCAGCCGTAATCTGAAGCCACACCCTCCTGCTAACAAAGAGGGTTGCGAAACCGAGGCACCAAAAGTCGTGCGCGCCAAAATGATCCGCGAATATGTTTCGCGAGATGAGGTGGACAGAACGTGTGTGCATCCGTCGTCGTCAACAATTCATCGAAGGTGAACGCTGGTAACCCTTGAATCGCCTGACCTCTCCCTCCGCGCGCAAAGGCCCTTTGCGGATCCCCCCATCCGCCTTCCCCCCCAATACAGCGCAAGAGCTTTGATGCGCAGAACCTGCGGATAAGCCTACGTGTATTGCCATACTCCAGCCAGGTGACAGGTGAGAGGCCATGTTGCTCATCTCAGGTTGAAAATATCTGGTGGTTTCTGTTGCTGCTTCAGCGTCACGGGCTGGAAGCAAATACAGTACACTGACAACCCACAATACATGCGTTCTATCATAATGCACTAACGTTTATCATTGATAACAATAGCATATTTCAGTCCCGCAATTGGCTGAAACATCCAGCTTCAGCTCTGGTAAATTTTATCACTTCACTGCTTACGCTGCCCGCTTTCCAATGTACGGAACTGTATCACTTGTGGAGTGTGCTGCAGTGATTGTCCCACAATCCCTCCTTGCCTTTGCCGCGTCATCCAACCTCCCGCTCTTCTTGCCTCGGCGAAAGGCCAATCTTCATCGCAGTCTCAGTCGCAACCAACCACACACTGCCATGCATACATCAGATCTATTCTCCCTGCAAAAGTGCATTTGGACTGCAGGTCGCGCGACCGACCTCTCCCCCTGAGTGCTCCTGAGTCCTGGCCTGAAGCAATGCAACCCTGCAATGCCCAGAAAATGGAAATGGCCCAAAACCATGCAAATGGGGGACATCCCTGCACGCATTTATGTAGCTCCAAGGCGACGAGTTCTTTTTATTCAGCCCCTCAAGTCACACACCAGCAACTTCATTCACATCCTCACTCCGAATTCCCTTGTCACCGTGCTGCCTGCGAACAAATGCTCGTCGCGCGCAGCTGTGTTTGCCTCTTTCGCCTATCACTATGGAATCAGCACCGCATCTGATACTACCCGACGCTGATGAATTCGTGCGCGCTCCACACGCCGCAAACGCTGCATTGCCGTTTGCCCCGAAGCTCGACAACGTGGATGGCGCCGTCGAGGACGGCGACATTCACGCCGCAATTAACTCGTTTCTCGCTATTCCCAACAGCTTCTGGGACTCATCACTCCCGCCTTTTCTGGCGGCAGAACCTTCGCCAACCAATGAAAGCGCGGAGGCCGCTGGAGACGCGCTCAGAGGCGCGGCGGACGAAAGCGGAGGCAAGCGGCGCAGCGACGCGGCTGCTAGCGCTCAAACGGATGATAACGCGATTTGCATTGGCGACGCGAAAGATGCGAATGCGACGACGATGAAGCAAATTTCGGACGATATAAAGCGAGAGGCCGCGGAACTGCTGCGACGGAACGACGCGCACTCCGAGTCGCTCAAGCTTCGGGCGCTCGAGCGGCCTCCGGCACCTGGCGGCAGCAACGCGAAGAAGCAGAAGCAGCAGCAGCGACACAAGGCGCAGCAGAACGCCAAGATCCTGTCGGCGCTGCTGACGGCTCTTGCGTCGCTCGACCAGTGCTCCTCCGAGGGCTCTGCGGACGACGAATCCGCACCCAACACGCCCTCCCCCAAACGGCGGAAGGCGGCGTGCGGAAAGACGGCCTTGGCGGCCTCCGCTGACGCACACGGCGGGAGCGGCAATGCGGCGGAGGCCCCTGCGAAGACAGAGGGGCAGCCGTCGTCGTGTGAGGCTCCGCGTGTGAATCCGCTGACAGCGCGGAATGGCAGTGCGAACGAGGCCAGCGCGGCGGCACACGGCAAGATCTCCGCGGGGACAGGACGCGGAGCGAGGAGCAAGGTAGCATCGCTACCGGGGCTCACCTGGCAAGAAGAAAAGCGAGCTCCCGTTCAAGGCCTCGCGCAAGGAGCGACGGAAGGGCCGACGCGAGGGGCAACACACGGAGCAGGGAGGAAGGAGACGCGCGTGGAGGAAGAACATGACGCATGGGGCACCAAGGACGAGGTCCCGAACGTCCCAGGAATCCCACAACGAGTTGGCACGGGCAGGAGCCTTCTGGACGCGTTCCTTGCAGACCTGCCCGAGATTGACGGGCATCTGGACGCTGTTATGACATCCCTGTGCTCTGAATCTGCTACGACTGCCTGCACGACTGCCTGCACGGGAGGTGCTTCGAAGGACAATGCTGCTTGCGCGGGTGTGGATGGAACGCAATCTGTTCCTTTACAGCCTTCCTCGCACCTCTCTCCACCCAAGACTCCCGTGCTTAGCCACGCGCCAGGGTTTGCGCATGCGCATGAGAAGCCTCTGCCTGTTGATGAGACGCACAATAACGAGGATGAAGGCGATGATGAGGACGACAGGCTGAGCACCAGCAGCATTGACAGCGAGGATGCAGCGGCTGCTGCTGCAGCGGCGACAGCTCTTGCCATGCGGACGCGAACGAGAGTGGCGGAGGAGAATCATTTGCCTGAAACGAAAGCAGGTGCTCCGTATCTGGACAATGTGGCTCAGATGAAGCGCGGGGCAGGGCAGCGACCTCCTCCTCTGACACTTCCTGGTGCTCTAGAACCTGTTTGTAACGGTTCCCCATCATCTCTCGGCAGTCCTTTTAACCAAATGAAAGCGAGCACACCTGGTAACGGAGACTCGCCATGTTTCACGCCTTTGGGAATGGGGACGGGATTCTTCTCTCCGAGGTATGGTGCTGTGGGAGGGAATGATGTGGATGACTGGATGCCGCGCAACCGCGGGCGCAAGGACCGGCAGGTGGCGGGCGGGCGCATCAAGGCACGGAGCATGGCGGAGAGGCAGAGGCGGGAGAGGATCAGCGAGGGGCTGCAGAAGCTGCGCATGACGGTGCGTGGGCATGGGGACACGGCCACTATGCTCGATAATGCTGTCTCGTACGTTCAGGCTCTGCAGAGGAGAGTGAGCACACTAGAGACAAACATGCTGCTCCACAAGGCTTCGTGCAAGATGAAGGAAGACGGGTTGGACATTGCCAATGATCGGGAGGGATCGAGCCTGGAATAAAATTGATCTCTGAGGGCTGTGGGAATAAGTGGCAAATTAATGCTTGTTTGATTGTTGTAACTTACTACCGTATTATTAACCTGAATTTTCTAATTCAGTTTATCCAGCTCAATTCTTATCGATGCGTTCGCTGTAGCGTGTATTAAACCTCCAGATTTGCGATGTGCTATACTTTCTTGCCTGTCCCCAATCTCGAGGTGAACGGAGCAGACAGACAAATCCGTGCAGTCTGTTCCCTCTCGCTTCCATTTCAGTGACGGATGTGGTCCCAACGTTTGCAATGGCTGACTGATCCTGTGTAACATATTAGCGCAACTCTTCATAAAGATACTTCCTTGTGTGTCTGATCCTGTGAAACAGATTAGCGCAACTCTTCACCAAGAATGTAAATATGTTTGTTGACCATCTGTTAGACTTTTCGTATCAGGCTCCCTGATCACCCCAGAGCCCAGAACTGAGAGTTAATTCAATGTCAGCTCATCCCACGGTTTCCAACATCGCTCGTTCACCTGTGGCTTCTAATGATGTTCCCAATGCCTCCGCTCGTCCCCCATCCGCCGCGACTCCGCCACCCGCCGCGACTCCGCCATCCGCCGCGACTCCGCCACCCGCCGCGACTCCGCCACCCGCCGCGACTCCGCCATCCAAGACGACTCCTCCAGGAGCCACCGTGATCGATCTCACTCGCATGTCGTCGTCGCGTCTCGTCGCACGCGTGTCGCACCTGCACACGATGCTGCGACGAGCTGTCGCATGGCAGTCGCAGCAGCAGCAGGTTCTGCTTCGGAAGCAAATCCAGCAGGATCCGACAGCAACGGCAGATGCGACAGCAGCAGCAGCAGCTGCTGCGGCGACGGCGTTATGGAAGTCGCCAGGAGGTCGAGAGGCGGCAAGCACTCTGAGCAAGACTCTGCTTGACGTGTCCAGGTCAGTATGGCGAGTGGGGCTGGATCAGATGCGACAGCAGCAGAAGCAGCTGCTGCGGCGACGGCGTTATGGAAGTCGCCGGGAGGTCGAGAGGCCGCAAGCACTCTGAGCAAGACGCTGCTGGACGTGTCCAGGTGAATATGGCGAGTGGAGCTGGGTTGGAGTCATGTTCTAGAAATCTCAAAGTCTCCAGGAGGCCGAAAGGCCGCAAGCACTCTGAGCAAGACGCTGCTGGACGTGTCCAGGTGAATAAGGCGAGAGGTTGCTTAGCTGGTGATTATGGCGAGTAGGTAGGGCTCACGCGAATAGGCGGTACGTACAGGGATGGCCGCGTTCCCAGTCATCCCTCCCATCGCATCTACCGCTCTCACTTGTTCATACCATCTGTTCCCCCCAGGACCCTGCACGTGGCACTAGCGACAGAGCAACCGCTGATAGCCCTCCCTTGCAACCCTCTGCCTCTCACTGCGTCATGTCCGTGTGTCCCCTCTGCTTCCCCTCTGCTCCCCCTCTGCTCCCCTCAGGACCCTGGATGTGGCTCTGGCGACGGAGCAGCGGCTGGAGGGCAAGGAGGGGGACCTAATCGATGCAGTGAAGATGGTGAGTGGGTGCTGAAAAGATGGTGACTTGCTTATCGTGCACTCCTTGTCACAACGGTGTCAAAACGGACGTTGATGGTCGCTTTTCGTGCCATGGCATGCCATGCCATGCCATGCACAGAGATGATCAATATCTTAGTCGTTGCATGAGATTTTTTTTTAAAAACGCCTCGTACATGCCTACACGAGCACTGCCCTACGTACGAACTTCACTCTGCAACAGCCACTTCGTGAACGTCACTAATGCCATCACAGATTATCAAAGTCAAAACCCCTCCCTTCCTCCACTCCACTGCAGGCCTGTCTCCTCAACACTGTCCCATCTCTTCGCCCTGCTGTCACCGTCCTGCTGCTCTCTGTCAAGGTAATGGCCATCCTTGCCATCCTGTCCCTCCTCCTAGCGCTCCTGCCCCTTCCTGTCCCTCCCTTCCCTCGCTTGCAGCCATTTTCCCACTCTCCCTCTCTTCCACAACCTCCTAACTACCCACCTTATGCTCCACTTCCCTCGACCTCTCCACCCACCCCTTCCATTCCTGAAAGCTCCATTCCACCCGCCCAAGTCTTAAACATCTTACAACATTCCATTCCATCCATCATCCTCTCACCCAATCCTCCTCCATCCTTTCACGCTTCTTCCCCCACCGCCCGATCTCTCATTTCCCCCCTGTCTGCCATCACCACTCCATCTCCATCCGTGCCGGGCAGCAGTAGAATCTGGGTGGATTTGAGAATTCTCAAAAGCGCTTTCTTCCCCCACTGCCCCATCTCTCCTCTCCCTCGTGTATCGCCATTCCATCTGTGCCAGGCAGCAGTAGCGGCTGGATGGTTCTCAGAAGACCAGCAGACAAGCGTTCGAGGTTTCTGTGATAATGTGAGTTCAGTCAGAGTTCCTAGACTTTGCCCACTCCCTCGTTCGACCCGTCCGTCAATGGCTAGGCCACTGCAGTACACAGAGTACTCGTTATAGCCTTATGCGGCGCACCAAATTCGTTCGAGCCGTACGTCAATGGCTCTGCAGTACACAGAGTGTTTATACTCGCTACAAGCCTTTGAAGTCATGTGTGTACATCCCGTACCCTAACCTGCAGGCACTGGGAGGGGGGTTTCTCTTCCTCCGTTGATCTTTCTCACATCTGGCCAATGACATCTTTGTTTCCTCTCACATGTGTGTTCCTCCCATTGATTTCTATAAGACTTTGTCAGCTCCCATTCGCTGAGAGCGAGCTCTCTATCATAGAGGCGCCTCAACATTGGCCCACCACATTTGTGTTTCCTCCCATTTGTCCCTCTGCAGGCCCTGAAGCCTTTCTCCTCCTCTCTCGCCCCTCGCCCCGCCTCTCTCTCCAATTGGCTGGACGAAGCTCCAGGTCAGCCCCATGCTGACGTGGCAGCCGAGGAGCAGAGGGCGCTCAGCAGGGAGGTCGATCTGGGGGAGGTGCTGCATGGCGTGGCAGGGTGGGTCGAGGAGGAGGGGAGGGAGAATGGGGAGGGAGGGGGAAGGGGAGGACAAAGGGAGACGTTAGGGAATGTACAGGACACTGAACGGGGTAGTGGGGGTATTGGGGGAAGTGCGGGAGGGGGTCCAATGGGGAGAGGAAGTGGGGGAGAATGGGGGGAAGCAGAGGGGCAAGGCCGTGTGTTCGAGGGTGCTGGCAGGAGGGAGAGTGGGAAGGGGAGTGCAGGTGCGGGAGGTGTCCTGCCTCTCTCCACTGACCTTCTGCTGGAGCTCGTTGTGAAGAGGTGGGTGTGCTGTGCTTGCATGTAGCTGGTTGGTACCCTCGGAGGCATCACAAAACTGAATCCAATACTGCTGGCTCGTACCTGCCTGCCTGCATGGCATGTGGGTGTGTCACAGCCGGTTTCGGTGTAAAATATAAACCCTGTCCTTGTGTGAGCATAGTAGATGCTCATGTGTGTAAGAGAGTGTGTATCTTTCTGTGTGTCTGGGCTGCGTGCATGTGTGTGTGTATGTGGGTTGTTCACGTGCGCATGTGCATGCGTGTGTCTCCAGGTTCCTTCCCACTATGAGGATAGTAGACGTCTGCACAGCACTCACTGTACAGGTGAATCCCTCTGGCCTAGCTTGGGGAGTTTATGTTCGGTATCTTTCCACTTGCACAGCACAACCCAGCCTCGTTCTGACATCTCCTTTCCCTCCTCCATGCCTCCCATATTTTTTTGTCCTCTGCCCTCTCCCCTGCTCTCTCTCCAGCTCTTTCCCGGGTTTCCTTCCATATATACTGCTCGCATTCCCCTTCATGCCTGCCTGTCTATCTTCTCTTTCCCCCCCTCCCGCCCTTCATTCCGCCCTCCCCGCCCTCATTTCCCCCTCAACACCCCCCTTGCCCCGCCCCGCCCCCGCCCTCACACGTCCATGCTCTCAGCCACATGAGACGTCTTAAACGCCCCCCATGTTTCCCACCGCTCCCTCCGCCCCACTCCATGCATGCCAGTCCCCAACTCTCCCCCAGTCCACTCCCCCCACCTTCCCCTCCCTACGCCCCCAATGCATGCCTGTATCCCCCGCTCTTCCCCATCCTTTGCCAACCTCTCCCCCCTCAAAACCCCCCCGCTTACTCATGCAATGCGAGCCAGGCTTCCATGCTCTCACTCATAACTTTCTCGTCTCCCACCATCCCAAGCCAACTCATATGACTCACCGGTCCACTCCTCAACCCCAACCCCCCAACCCCCCCCGGGCAGCCAGGCTTCCATGTTCTCACTCATGACTTTCTCGTCTCCCACCATCCCAAGCCGCAGCAGAAACTGGTCAGATTCAATGAACCTTTCACCTTAACGAAGCTCTTGGTCTCTTCAAGCAATAGCACGTTGATCTCACACACACACACACCTGCACACTCAACCTTCCACCCCAACCCGCTCATCCACCCGTTCATCCCATCAGCGCTTCTTCTCCATCCGAACAGACTTTGTCAAATCTGCTGCCACTAATTCATCCTCCCATCCCACCCATTGCAACCGTTCATCCTCGCATGATCGCATCACACCCACCCATTCACCCACGCACCCTTCCATCCCAACCCGCCCACCCTCCCATCCTCCATCCCATCAGCGCTTCTTCTCCATTCGAGCAGACTTTGTCAACTCTGCTGCCACCCTCGTCTCGCCTCCTCAAGCCAGGTCAGTGGCATATGCGATGTGAGCAGCCTATGCCACGCCATGGCTTGGTTTCGGGACATTTTTTTGTGGAGACATTCTTGAGTCGAGATTCATGCCATGGTTCATGCCTTGAGTTCCAGCACACAGTCCGCTCAGAAACCTGTGCCGTATCATACCCTTTTCATTCTCGTCTGCTCTCGCTGTATGGTGATGCGATGCATGGTGGCGTGATGCATGCATGCATGCATGCACAATGGCGAGACGCCTGTTTGTGTGACGGATTTTTCGTGCATGATGGCATGGCATGGCATGGCTTCGTGTGCAGTATACTGCTGAATGCCAAGGAGGTGCCCAACAGAACAGCCATCGACCAGGTAATTTGCCGACAGCCGGAATTGAACCCTTTCCCTCCGACCTTCTCCCATGCACCTTCCCCCACCACCCTTGCTACCTTTCAATATCTGTGGCGCGCACAGGGCCGCCACCTCCCCATCCGAACCACTCCCAACCACTCCCATCCCAACCTCTTTTGCAGGACATATCTCCTCCCCTCTCTGCAACCTCCCTGCACAAAACCACTCCCTTCCCATCCCAAGTTCTGTCCGCCTGATCTACCGCCTGCCCTCTCTTCAACCTCCCGTTTGCAGGACCGTTCCCCACTGGTACCCTCCGACGTCATCAAGCTTCTGAGGCTCGGGGTGAACATCTTGAACCTCATTGGCCGCCTCTCAGGTAAGGAGGGCGGGTGATGTGCTCGGTAACTCGGTTTCTCCCTCATGCTCCTTTCTGAGTTGAATCAAGCATGAACCTCTTGTACTTCGTTGGCCGCCTCTCAGGTACGTATGGCTTGTGTGATGTGCTTGATTGCTCCGGTGCTCTCTTCTGGTTTGTACCAAGTATGAACCTCTTGGGTTTCTCTTGAGCAGTCCTCTGTATGACAGCGGCAACACGCATATCCCATGCTCGCACTCCGCCCTCATCCCTTCCCCATCCCTCTCAACTACATGCCATACTCGCTCATTCCCGCTGTTGCCTCTGCTCACTACTCCCCCTCCCCCTCACTCCCTCCGATATTTTCCCTCCCCGCCACTCTCTCCCCTCTCCCCTCCTCCCCCCCCAGTGCCCTACATTTTCGTGGTGGCGGTGATGGCACCCACCCCCCTTACCCCACCCTCCATGCTCAAGCCCCACCCCTCTCAACTCAAGCCAACTCCTCCCCACTCCACTCAACCGTCCCAAGCCTCTCAAGCCACTGCAAGCTGTCTTACACATGCTGCCTCTGCCAGCAGCCTTTCTACGCACACACCCACAACTCCCTCTGGAGAAACCTCAAACGGTTTGCCGTACCGTGCATTGACAGCGGAGGGGGAGAGGAGCGGTGACAGGGGGCAAGGAGAGCAGCAGCAGGGGCAGGCCCAGCTGCAGCAGCAGGGGCATGAGGAGGAGGAGGAGGAGGAGGAGTTGCTGGAGGGACCAGTTCGAGTGTCGCTCTTGTGTCCAATCAGGTGATGCCATGTGTACTATTAGGTAATGTGATGTATGCAGGAAGTGGTGTGATGCTTCGATCGAAGTGGTTTGATGGAAGATGCATGGGTTGGATGCTTGGGTTAATCACACGCCAACCACTCCCATCCCAACCTCTGTTGCCTTGCCTGACCTACCGCCTCCCCTCTTGTCAACCTGCAGTTGGTCTCGTATGAAAGTGCCCGTGAGGGACCGAGCGTGCTCCCACCATCAGGTGAGATTCCAGGTGGAAAATCAGGTGTTTTCTCAAATTGGTGGAACTTTCCTGTTGTGCAGCTTCTGCTCCTTTACTCTTCATGCAACAACCACGACTGAAAGAACCTGATGACATTGCACACGCAATGTGCCCATCTGCTTGATACAGTGCTGCGACTACAGCAGTATGATGGCAATCAACTCGCCTGCCTGTGTTTCCTCATACCCTTTATACAGTGCTGCCATTACAGCAGTATGATGGCAATCAACTCGCCTGCCTGTGTTTCCCCATACCCTTCATACAGTGCTGCGATTACAGCAGTATGATGGCAATCAACTCGCCTTCCTGCGTTTCCCCCCATCCCCTTTATACAGTGCTGCGACTACAGCAGTGTGATGGCAATCAACGAGCAAAAGCCCATGTGGAAGTGCCCCACATGCCGTGCTGACATCAGCGCCACGTCACTCTGTCTCGACACGCGCATGATGCAGGTAAACGCTCTCCTCGCATGACACGTGGCGTTCTAATCTCAGTGCATGTGTGGGCGCCCACACATGCCACGTGGGCATGTATGCATGCATGCAGGGAGTATGTGGGGTACCCATGCATCGCCACATTGTGCCTTCTTCATGGCAACCACATGTGGACACCCAGACCATATGCATGCACCCACAGCACGTATGGCATGTATGAGAGGACGGCCAGCACTGATCAAACCAGTTTTTTGCTCGCACTCAACCTCTCCTCTTCCCCTCTCCCCATGCAGGTTCTTTCCGAGAGCACTGCCAGCATTGGTCAAACTGATGTGCTGCTCTTCCCGGATGGTTCCTGGCAGCTTCTACCTCAGGGAACAGGCTTCTCTCCCTCCCCGGCCTCCCCTCCCTCTAAGCGACGCCGGCTCGATGCTGCTGCACCTGCTGCTGTGCTCCCATCACCCGCTGCTGCTGCTACAGTGCCACCAGCTGCTGATACAGCACCATCATCTGCTGATGCAACACCTTCACGTGCTGCTACAGTGGCAACAGGTGCAGCAGCAAGGGAAGTGGAGGGATCAGGGTCTGGGGAGGACCAACGAGAAGGCATTATCGACCTAACAGATGTTGGTGACGATGCCCTGGCTGGGGGAACCTGGGGGGTTGGGAGTGATGTGAAGCCGTGTGTGGGTATCGGACAAGGCCAGGCACCTCATGTGGGGGAGGCAGCAGGCAGGGCAGCTCACGGTGTTGTTCCTCCACTCCCACCCCAAGTGCGCCCTCTTGGGCCTGGGTCTTCGAGTTTTGAGGCACCTCAAAACGCACCTCATGTGGGAGAGGCAGCAGGCAGGGCAGCTCACGGTGTGCTTCCTCCACTCCCACCCCAGATGCACCCTCATGCGCCTGAGCCTGCCCCTGCTGCCTTTCATGGCCCTCCCCATGCTGCTTCACCTGTTGACATCGTAGCAGTGGCTGAAGGGGCTGTAGCACCAGCTTACCGTGTTCTTCCCCCACTTCCACACCAACTGCAACCTCAAGCATCTAGACCTGCTGCCGCTGCTACCGTCCATGCTGCTGTCGTTGGTCCTCCTACCGCCGCCCCTGCTCTCTCTCCTTCTGCTCCTCCTATTGCCGTTCCTGCTCTCCCTCCTGTTGCCCCTGCTTCAACCCATGGTGCTGCACGTGGCAGCCCAATCGCCCCTTCCCCAGCTTCTGCTCTGTCTGCTCCATGTGCCTCATATACTCCTCGTGTGGGCATCGCCACTGCCAATCACTCACAAGGGATCCCTGCACACCCTTCTGCTGCCAGACCCCCTGCTGCTGCTACGACACTTCCTGCTGTTACCACCCTCCCTGCTGCTGCTGCTGCTGCTGCACCTGCCCAGCCTGCTGCCGCACCTGCCCAGCCTGCTGCCGCACCTGCCCAGCCTGCTGCCGCACCAGTTACCAGGCCTGCATCTGTGCGCTTGCAGCAAGCGCGCACCCATGCACCTTCCCATCAGTCTCGTCCTCCTGTGCGCAGCCATCCCCTAGGCGTGCCTGCTGCAGCCCCTGGTACAGCCTCTCCTGCTACAACCGCTCCTGCAACAGCCGCTCCTGATACTGCCACTCCTTCTACAGGTGCTCCTTCTTCTGCCACTCCTGCTACAGCCACTCCTTCTACAGCCACTCCTGCTACAGCCACTCCTGGCGCACCCACACCTGCTGCGAGGCCCATCCAGGCATTGTCGCACCAGCTGTCAGCACGCCATTTGTCGATCAGAGGCAGCGCTGAGCTGGCATCTCTGGGCAGGTCGCTTGCTGCTGTGGCAGCATCAGCACTGGGGGTCGAGCGAGTTGGGAATGAGGGTTCAGGAGAGTCTGTGAGAGAGGGGAGTGGAATCGGTGATGTGAGTGGGCCAACAGAACAGGAGGGGAGTATTATTGGACAATCGAGACAATCTACACAAGCTAACCTGCAAAGGTCTACAAGGGGTGGTGGTGGTGTACAAGTCTCAGATGTTGGTGAAGTGCCATCACAACCAGACTTTGATTTGTTCAATGATCTATTTGGTACCCAACAAGGCTTCGATTTCTGATTATTTCATAACTACTGGTTGATATTAGGCATGTATGTCATGACAGGTATGATCTCTTAATGCGTCACCACCATTGAGGATGAGTTTATCCTAATCCAATCACACTTCAGGGTATTGTCTCAAAGAATCGTTGAAATCCGTTCGTTCCGTCCAGCTGCCACAAAAGCATAGACGTTGGATTGCCTCCCGTCGCGTCGCTAGCATGTCATCAGCGTTTGCGGCCACGCCGCTTCCCGCGCCTGCTGACATGGCCTCTGAGGCCTTCAACTTTCTCGACCGCGTGTGACTTCTTACCCCGTGTTTGTCACGCAACCCCGGCACGGATTGTGGGGCACGGCTTTCTAAGGGAAGTGTGGTTCCTCCATTTTCACCTGCCCTGAAGTTTCGCGGTTCGCCACAAGACAGGAGTTTTTGCTGGTTTTTGACTGGCAGAACAGCAGGTTGGAGAGAGACACTGCTTTTCCCCCGGTTGAAGGCTGCGCAAGTGGCATTGCGCGAGCTGCCTCCGTCGGCCCCCCTGGCTATTCCCCCACCAGCGTCATGTCGTGGATAGGTCACGTCAAATGCACCCGCCACCAATCCCTCCCGGACCTGGGCGCGAACGAAGCCCAGGGCTCGCGCTTGAGTTGCGGGCCCCCAGTTTCGGCACAATCTGGGGGCAGTGAAAGCAAATCGGGGCCGGTTTCTGGCTTGATTCATCCACTGCGCTTCGGATGGCGGAACAATAATGCTGCTCCGCTGGGGTTTCCGCTTGACACGCCAGCCCCTCCGCCAATGCCTTGCCCAGCCACATGACGGAACGGAACGGACGGACGGATGGTGCAGGAGGCAGGAAGGAAGAAAATCCGAAGGGGAGAAAGGGAGGAGGAGCTGTGCCGTGCCGTGTCTGCCGTGGAAAAAAACCCAGGGGACGGGACAAGAGAGGCAGGCAGCAGAGCGGGTAATAATAATCTAGGTAACAGTTCCCAAGGTCGATTAGTGCTGCTCTTAGAGATTTCAGTACGAGTGCTTATACGAATGGCAAGCTCTTCTGAGCTCCTCAGCAGATAGTGAAACCGCGTTAGAGCTTGAAGGACTCTGAAATTGTATTACTTAGGTCAAGCTTTCAATAGTATACGCAAATGGCTCTAGTTTCGCCCTCAGAATTGCATCTCGCAGTGCTCTCAGGCGACTTAAAGGTGACACGAAAACTCCTTCGCGACGGATGGGACTCGGCGGGCCGCGACGGTTTCGGTCGCACGCCGCTCCAATGGGCCGTTATTCTCGGTCACGAAGAGATTACGAAGGCTTTAATTGTCAACACACCGCTTCGCTTCCTCCACTCCGCAGACCGCCACGGCCGCAACGTGCTGCACTACGCCGCCGCGCAAGGCCGCGCAGAACTCCTCCGTGTGGTGATTCAACGCGGCGGAGACGTTAATTCTCGGGATTGCCTTCGGAAGACCCCTCTGCACTTTGCCGCTGCAGCCGTCGATCCTGTAGTTGCGGAGATTTTGCTGGAGAAAGGCGCAGACCCGTCCGCCGTGGACGCGAGTGGATTAACTCCATTGGACTACGCCGTTAGATTCGGCAGCGTGGCTTGCGAGAAGCTGCTTCGGAGCACTACGAAGTGTAATAAGGATTCCGCCGACGAAGCGGAGGCAAAGAGAAGCGCATCTAAGGAGCGCAGCGCTCGATATCCCCTGGCCACTCTGGATGCAAATGTTCCTCTCTCGTCGGCAACTCGTCCATTAAAGGCTTCGGAGCTATCGCACAATCTGGCTTCAGAACAGTCGCACAGTCCGACAGACACTGTCTCTTCATCTTTGTGTCGCTCCGCCTCCTCCATTCCCTCCGCCTCCTCCATTCCCTCCGCCTCCGCGATTCCCTCCTACCCCCCCTCCACGAATAAAGCCGCGCCGGCAGCATCGGCGTTGGAGTCGCTGCTTGACGCCTGGAAGTCGTCGTGCGAAAGGTCTCGCCTTTGCGAGTCGCAGGCGACTGCTGCAAATAACGCGACAGGCGATCTCTCGTCGCCGTCGAGAATAAACGTCAACACGCCAGAGGCTGCCGCTGCACCCGCGCGTGAGCTGTGCACGGCGGGTGATCCGCGCCCGCCCGCCATGGAGTGGACGCCGTGCAGCATTGTCGGCGCGTGCAACGGATCGTGCAGTCAGTTGACCGGGCCGTGCGGCTTGGCCGGACAGGTGGGCTGGCACGCGGCGGAAAAAGTCACCCGCGCGGTTTGCTGCTAAGCGCATTTGACGCTCGAATAAGTTCTCCCGACGCTGCAAAGGGAATAATCGTGGCGACGCATAAGTGGACGGTCAGATTGTTGATATAGTGGCTGTACGTTAACTGACCGTACGCCTCGCGGTCGTTGCCACTCGCCTGTTCTTCCGTTCGAGTACTGCTGAAGAACATGGCCTTACACTCCGTTACAGTACTGCTATTGAACTGTACGACCTTATACTGTTCTTTTGTTTAGCACTTTGTTTCTGCCACAGCCATCACGGCACTCTTTTAGTCATGGTACTCTTCTCAAGAGCCGTAGCCATGACCTGTGAGGTATGAATGTGGACACTAGGTTTAGAGGCAGAGGATGAGAATCACCATTATTTAAAGCTGCGGTCTACATACTAAAAGGCATTTTTGGGGGTATTTCGGGTGCACACCCTAGGACAAATGCTGATTGGGGAACGAAATGACCATTTTCCAGTAATGAGGGAGCGAATGTTTCAAACAGAACTGGCGAATCCCGCCAGTTTCGTGAAAGGTTTGGTTGGGGTGTAAATATTTCGGGAGGAGAGGGTTGTGTTGGCGATTTCGCCACAACGTGCAACCAATCCGGGTTGGGGAGGTGATTGGCGGGAAAACTAGAAGCCAATCCTGTTTCGCCCAATTTTCAGAGGTGAGGTTGTGTTGTCACAAAGCAGTAACTGCACCTCGCCACTCAAGGTTGGAGCGAAGCTAGGTGCTACCGTGTTTTCAAGTGATAAACCTAGACCTCCCGCAGGAAGTATGTAGGCGACAGCTTTAAGATGTTTTTCTGTGTATTGTATTATTCCTCCCTGTTACAATCCTAAAAAGGACTTAGCGAAGGATCGCTCAGGGTTGATCGCAGAGTGGTGTTGCAGCGGAAGTTTGAATCTCAGGTCAGAGTGAATGTAAATGACTGAGTTAATAATAACATGCATACATCGAGTTTATATAAGAGTACAGGGGAATACGAAAAGACCTAGACTAGCCATGTACTCTAAGGGGTACATTCCCTTATTACAACCGAATTCAAACCGTGCGGCGCGGGAACCAGTTTCAAACCTGTTCCCGCTCATTTCACTTCAAATGTTTCTGCCAGCATCGGTCTTGGTCAGACGGTTGCTGCGTCGCTTCGACTCTTCTGACTCCTCGACTTCGTACTCGGTAGAGTCGGCTCCTGCATCATACAGGAATGCCTTCTCATAAAGTTTCATATCGTAACACTCCCCTTCATTCCTGGACGCGGGTGGAGCTGACTCGCTTGACTACTCCGGTGAGGTCAGAGCAGTGTTTGTACTGCTGACGTGGCAGACGCTTGGTGAGGAAATCTGCTGCCATCTCAGTGGTCGGGCAGTAGGCGAGGTCCACTTTGCCTTGGTCGATTTCGTCCTTGACGAAAAAATACCGAAGCGCGATGTGCTTCGTGCGGTTCACGAAACCTGGCTTGTTCGCGATCCTGATGGCACTCTGGTTGTCGCAGTGAAGGCGAAAAGTGGGCGAAGTTGGAATTTTCGCCTCCTGTAGCAGCTCCTGCAGGTACAGGCCTTCGCGAACTGCTGCTGTCGCGGCGATGTATTCTGCTTCAGCCGATGACAGGGCAACCAGCTCCTGCTTCTGCGAGTTCCAGGAGATTGGCCCAGTGGGTTCCAGGCGAAAGACGAAGCCGGTTCGGGACCGTCGATTTGCAGGATCAGCTGCGTGATTTGCGTCCACGTAGCCGTTGAGGTTGAAGGAGGTCGTCGTCAGCGTGGAGTAGGAGAGCCCAATGTCAGGAGTAGAGATGAAGTACTGCAGGGCGCGCTCCAGGTCCAGCTGGTTCTCAGCTACTGGCTTGCGAGAGTACTGCGCCAGTTGGCTGGCGATGTACGAAAGGTCGGGTCGGCAGGTGACAGAGGCGAATAGCAGGCACCCCAACTTCTGCTGGTACATTTGGAGTCCTGCGGGTGACAGTGGTTTGTTGTCTCGTTTGTAGTTGGTGCTGGGGCTGCGGTAGGGGGTTGAGAGTGGTGCAGGTGAGATGTTGAAGCGTTCTCCCAGCTGTTCTGCGTACTTGGAGGCTGACAGATGAATTGCTTCTGGCGCGTAAGTGATGTTTAACCCCAAGAACTGCTTTACTTCGAGGTTGATGGTGATGTCCACGCGCTGCGCCAGGTTCTCCTGAAACTGATCAAGGAGTTTGTTGCAGGTGCCCGTGTACAGCAGGTCGTCAACGTAAATTGTCAGGAGGATGTAATCGCCGCTGAAGTGAAGGCGATACATTCCTGGGTCGTGTGGAAGCTGCTTGAAACCGATTTCGAGGAGGATTTTGTGCAGGTGCTGCTGCCAGAGACGAGGCGCCTGCTTGATCCCGTAGAGGGACTTCTTCAGTTGGCAGACCCTGGGGTCACCCTCTCCGTAGGTGTGCGGCTGTTCCACAAAGATGGTGGCATCCACCAACGCGTACAAAAACGCGTTCTTCACGTCGATCTGTCGCAGTGGCAGGTGCTTCGCGGCGGCAATAGCGAGTAGAATCCGGACTGAGGTGTGGCGACTGACGGGAGCGAAGGTTTGATCGAAGTCGATGCCATGGCGCTAATCGTACCCGCGTACGACCCAGCGTGCTTTGAAACGCTCGATAGTGCCGTCAGCGTTAGTTTTCAGGCGAAAGACCCATTTTCTGCTGAGCACCCTCCTCCCCTTAACTGCTGCACGATCGACTAGGACCCAGGTGTCGCGAGATTCCAGCGCCTTGAGCTCCGCATCCATCGCAGCACGCCACTCCTTGGTGTGAGGGCCGGTTAGGGCCTAGCGAGGGTTCTTAGGCTCCACGGCCCGTGCGAGGGTAGAAACGGAGGTGTGGAGGCCGAGAAGTTGAAGTCCTGACACATTGGTGGTGTCGGTGTTAGTGGGGACTTCCACCACGTCGTCGTCTCCGCTCTCATAACTGGTTGCTGTGGTGCTTGGCTCTGCTTGGCGTCGTGATGGTCCTGGCGCGGGGTCGTCATCACTGTCATCGTCGTCGTCGTCGCGAGGGCGAGGTGAGATGATGGGATGTTCGTCGGTGTCGTCGCGGTCCAGTGCTGCTGCTGCTGCTGCTGCATCTTCCAGAGTCGCGAAGCTGCGACCGTGGTTGACGTAGCCGCGTGCTTCGTTGCGACGCTCGTCCTCGATCCACTGCTTCAAGGTGAGCCGCTCGTAGAAGAGGATGTCTCGCGCGGGAACGATCTCCCTGCTATCCATGTCGAAGATGAGCCACCCCTTATGCTCATTGCTGAGGCCCAAGTGAATGCCCCAGCGCGCGCGATGAACGAACTTGCCGATTGTTGCCGAGGTCGGCCGGTATTGCACCACACACCCCCAAACCCTTAGCATGGAGGGATCTCCCCTTGAACCGGTCCACTTCATGTGAGGAGACAGGTTGTCTCTGTTGGCGGTGGTGGAGAGGAGGTTGTGCAGGCGCACCGCGTGGTTCATGGCGTAGGGCCAAAACTTCTTGGGTAGGCCGGACTGGTTCATGAGGGCGCGAACCTTGGTCATGATCGTGCGATTGACCATCTCGGCGACGCCTTGCTGCTGGTGAGCATAGGGGAGGGAAATCTCGTGTTTAATCCCCTTCTCGGTGAGGACACTCTCCAGCTCGTTGCTGCGAAATTCTTTTGCCCCATCACTTTGCCAGACCTTCAGTTTCCTCCCCGACTGTCGCTGTGCGTGCGCGAGGAAGATGCGGAACACCTCTGGAGCTTTGGAGCGGGCGTCTACGTTGGCGATCCACACGTGGCGTGAGTAGGCGTCGATGAAGGTGAGAGTATGCTTCTCGCCGTTGATGCCGTCGTGGGTGAGTACGATGAAATCGCTGTAGACCTTCTCCAGCATCTTGTAGCGGTTGGTGCTTGGCTCCAAGGAGGGGTAGGCGCTGTGGGTGAGCGCAGCAGTGGGACAGACTGTGCATGTGATTGGGTGGGGGGTGGTGTGCTGTAACTCCGTTCCGTCGGGGCGCAGCAGTGCTCCTGGTGGGAAGACCTTAGCACGGAGGCAGTTGGCGAGTGTCTGGCGCGAGGGATGTCCCATTCGCTGGTGCCAGAGGTCGTCTTCGGCGCGGATGCCGGAAGTGCGCTTGTAACGGGTGTGATGCTCTGCTGCCTCCTCCGCCGTGAGTTGTGGGATCTGGAGCGGGGGTTCTTCCTCTTCTCCTGGTTCTGCTTCGTTGTCCGGCTCCTCTGCTTCTGTTTCTGCCGTTACCCCCCCTTCTGCAGGTGCCGTTGTGAGGTACAGGGCGAGGAATTCGCGGTCGGGGATGATGGTGAGTGGGGTCGTGGTACCTTCGATGAAGCGAGCAAACGGGTTTGGGCGGGAGATTGGGCCAAGCGAATCCCGAAGAGGAGTTGGTGGTTCATTCCCCTCCTCAATCTCCGACCAACGATCGCGCCATCGAGGAGGCGAGGAAGGAGGTGAGCGGGTGCGTGGAAGACGCCCAATGGAATGGCGACACGAGGGGATGGTTCTCCACGCTCAGCTCGCATTTCACGTTCCATCTCTTCTTCGTCTTCCTTTGTGATTGGCGCATCCGCGTATTCATTTCTCCAACCGTCATCGTTGCCCCATCCTCCGGTTGTGACTGCGCCGCTGGCGCTAGCTCCCCATGCTCCAGTGGCAGATCCCCAGGTTGCTCCATCGCCTTCTTCTGGTACGTAATCCTCTTCTCCCCATGCACCACGATGTGCAGACTCTTCGTCCCATCCTGCCGCGATGCGCTCCTCAAACAGTTTCTTTTCCGCCCGGGCCTTGTCTTGTTCTTCCTTGACGCTGAGCTCCTCAGGTGCGTCAGGATCTTTCTAGGCAGGGTCAATTTCGCGGCGGTAGACTTCGCGGGTGTAGGGACGTGGTCGTCCATCGTCGTCGAAGGTAGTGGTATTGGCTTCGAGGACGAACCGCAGAGTGTCCGAGTAAGGCCTTGGCCTCTCCTGCTGTTCTTGTCCAAATTTCTTGCTTGGCTCTCCGAAGATGCGGTGTGATGACA